ATTTTTGAGTTAACTCAATTATGATTCAATGGTGAACACCCAATTATATATGCTTAAACCAAAGAAAGAGCTAAGAAAGATGAAAGCCCAAAATGATTTAAATGGGTCCTATGGGGTTGTTTCCTATGTTGTCTAGGCAGAGGAAAAGCTCTAATCATCCTAGTCCATGGGGTGAGCCAAGGGTCTAAATGCAGCTTAATGTGAACGCCTAAACTCTCACACATCAATATATTATCCTCTTTGGCAAAATGACCTCACAGTTTGCCCAATTTGTGTAATGTCCTAGGAGCTTACCTATCTTAAGAATGCTCTATCATGAGCACTCTTAGGTTTTGAGTTTCTAATGAAGAGAAACTCTACCATTACACCAAAAGTCTCCTCAATGTTTAAGAGTTCAACTTCAATTTATTTAAGGGGTTTCACAATCTCCCCCACTTAAGTACCTGATATGCTCGTTAGTGCTTTATACCCAAAGTCATCCACCATTCAGGTAGGACTCTAGAGGTGGCTCCTGCAGATTCAGAAGGTGGATCCTACCATGTAACACTTGACCCATCTAGGATATAAGAGGTAGCTCCATTGACATAACACTCTGTTCTGTATGGAACTTATTTCCTATCTTTCATTTGACACTCTTATATCATTTGTGACAGCCCAAACTCTCACATATCAAGGTATTGCCCGCTTTTGTGTAATGACCTCACAATTTTTCCCCATTCTAAAAGGCCACTCATTTTAGGATTGCTCCAACATGAACACACTCAATTATAGAGTTTCAAATGAAAATCCAACCACTAGACCAAAAGGAGCCTCGATTTTTAAGAGTTTAGCTTCAATCTACTTAAGGGGATTCACAAAAATATATATTACTCTATTTTCATGTGTTGATCTCAGTTACATGTTTTTGTAACCTAACTCTGATCCATTATGACAGGCCGAAATCTCACCCATCAAGGTATTATCTATTTTTGCCTAATGAACTCATGATTTCACTCCATTAGTGTAACTTCCCAAGAGATCACCCATCCTAGGAGTGCTCCCAAGTGAGTACACTTAAATCTGGGTTTTATAGTGAAATTCCACCATTACATCAAAAGGTTCGTCAATGTTTAAGAATTTGGCTTCAATCTACTTAAATGGTTTCACATTTATGCCATGAAATCAAGTCTCTAGACTCAATGGGCCACCAAAAATTATATTTAAAACTTATAATAAACTCGACTTTGATTTCAAGAACGGTTAAAATCAACTCAACATTAAATCAGATGCTCAAACCATCAAAAGATCCCAATCCCAATGGCCAATATATATATATATATATCCAAAATTAATTCTAACTTTGATGGTTAAATCACCTAGTCATTAATAAACAAACATCCCACATCAATATATTGTTCAAATTTCAAATAATGAGAAATTAAAATTCTAAAAATGTAGTGATCAAGCATCCAAAATTAAAGAAATATTTCAGGATCACGTCATTGAGCCATCCATATGATTAATCAGGTAAATTTATAGTGAGGTGTCCCTCTTCCGTTATCTCTTTTTGTTTACTTAGAGAAAAAAAATATATAAACATAAATAAAGACTAAATTAAACATAACTTAAAAGATTTAAAAAAAAACTTACCAAACATATTTTTAAACTAAGTGAGGAAGCTCTGATCCAACTAGATGCACATATAAGTGCATTCACTGTCTTTGTAGACAATGAACTCTTGTATTCATCAAGAACTCTCACACTTACATTAAAATATAATGTGATGCCATTGTTGTTATTGTAATTGATAAAATATTCTTAGCTTTGGGGGATAAACATGAATATTTGTTAGTGTTTAATTTCCTCCACTCAAGAATATTGAATTAACCATTATTGGCTAAAAATCAACCATCCTCAAGATATATTTGCAAATTTGATATTGAAGGTTGAACGGGCCCCAATGATACCACAAATACGTAAATCCAAGCATACAATTAATTTTTTTTAGAAAAGATAAGTCACTTGGAAATTTCAATGATTCACTAACTTTGATATACTAAGAAATCAAGTGTATATTCATTATATATATTCTAAATATTATATTCAACCTCTAGAGTTTTTGAGTTAAATTCAATGTATGAGTATATTTTTGAAATGTACAATAAAGAAACTTAAATTTCAATTGAGGGTCTAACACAACTGCCACAGACATAAGAATATTGCACTCGCCTCAATATTTATCAAACTTAGATTTTATTGCAAGATTTATTCCTTAATATAATCATTAAAAAAAGAAGACTTCTCCATTAATAATTTCTTCACATGCATAATGGTTGACAAGAAAACATTGGATGTTGAGTATGAGAAATTTGAGATAACTTTTGTCACACTAGAAAAAAATGATAAGAAACTTTCTTATTTTACATACCTCTCCTAGTCTGTATCAGATAGAATCCATTTATATTTGTTATCTATAATTGCATATTGACTGAAAATAGTTCTATATGAAAAATAGATTCAAGCATTACATAGGTCGAGTTCCACCTTGTAGGCATGTTAATAGATAATCCATTAGTGGTTGAAACCCCTAACTGTTTATAGACCTCAACAAACTTGTTAAGTCTCAATGATAACGTGTTAAGATATTTGACAAACTATCGCATTTGATGAATTAGACTTTGACCTCCTTAAAGCCCACTTTAACAATAATATTTAATATATGTGCATAACATCTAATATGAAAGAATGAACCCTAAAAATGCAACTTACCTCTCGATTGAAAATTAGCTTAAAGAGAGCTAACACCAACACCATTTTTAGTGGCATTATCCAAGGTTATGTTGAACACCTTATCTTGGATATTACGATCGAGTAAACAAATGCAAGTACCACTATGAGGTGGTTCCAATTGAATAAAAATAATGATTCTTCTTAGTAAGTTCTAAAAATTATCAATATAATGATGAGTCAGACACATATAACTAACTGTTTGATTTGAAGTCTAACAATAAAAATTTAAGGAAATCTTACATACATCCTTGAGAATTGTTCGTAGCTTTTTCTTTTTCAATATCATAGACCTTAATATAATCATTTTAAATTGTTTTATGGACACCCTAACCCTCTCATAATTAGGGTTTATGATTTTAACAAGATGTTGAACCACAATTGCCTAAACATCATGATTGAGTATTCATGCACGATTATCATTCTGACAATTCTCTCTCTAATTCGATATTGGTCCTAGTTCTTAGGGCCATGATTAATAGGAATCTCAATATCTGTAGTAGCATCAAGGTGCAACAAATTAATGGTCTTCTGTCTATTATATAATGAATCGACATGATTGTTCTTTGCTTTGATCTTTTAACAACCTTTGACATGCCTAGGTAGTTGTAAAGTGGTGCCACATTTAGATTTATGAAATTTGGTATGACAACATTTGTATTGCCAAATAGGGGTTGTAGCTCCTTTGGTAGTGACTATGTTCTCAACAAAATGCTCCCAAAATGAGGATTTCCCCTTTCTTGATTTCCTGGCAAGGAGTTCAACATTATTTGTTTCAACAACTACTACATCAAGTTCTCTTAAAATAACATTCGGATTTTTATTGTTATTTTTGACTTCAATGTCAATTTCATTAATAGATGAGGCGGTTTGAAAAATATACAAATTTAACATTGCAGCACACTAAAAAAAATTAAATAAATCATTTGTTGCACAATAAGATCCACACAACACTCACTAAACCTATAAAACATCAAATATTCTTGCTTTTGGTACCAAAAAATTCAAAAAATTTAAAACACTGACTACACTTCAAAGACTGAATTATGCTCAAGTGAAACTTAGATTTGTGATAGAATATTACATAAGTTTGAAACTCTTAACATCATGAGCGCAATAGTCCATAGATCAAAATAAACAAAGATAGATTGTTCATATCTACTTTTGAAGTGCCAACACTTTTGTACCACAAACCAGAACATGGTTGAAAGTTAATGGACACTTGATGTGCATTAATTCTTCCGGATAAATTGAGTATTCACAAATCCAATGCACGTCCTAAACATAGCAAGTTCAAAAAACATAGGATTAAATTTAGGGGTACTCACACAATCACAGATTCACACACATTCCACACATTTTTTTATTTATTTACATATCTAACACTTAAACATGCATAGCACTCAAATCATTGACAAAAGAATTATACATTAATAGGGCTGTCAAAACAGCTCGTTGTTCGCGAACAACTCGTGTTTAGCTTGTTAAGAAGCTCGTGTTCGGCTCGTTCGTTAAGTTAACGAGCCGAACACGAACAACAGGAACAAAAATTTGTTCGTTTGTGTTCGGCTCGTTTTGACTCGAAATACTACGCATCAATATATATATAATGATGAGTAGTTTTAAAAAAAAATTATTGACTACAAGCCTAATAAAAATTATTAAATTAGATTCAAATGATGTTTTAATATAAACAATAATTTTTTAAATCTTACTCCAATCTTTAACATCTTATAAAGACGTGATTGGAATTGCTAAAAGGAATTTTTATTCATGAACAGCTCGTGTTCGGCTCGTTTACACCCGTAACATTAATGTAAATACGAATGTTTAGGTGTTAAACCTAAAAATACATAAGAATTGTATAGTTTGCCAGTAAATTTCCCTTGATTGAAATCGGTGCACACCAAATTAAGTCCAGCTGACAATTTATTCCGTCCTATTAAATACAAGTGAGGCAGCACAATCAATAAGAACAGTGTTGTCAGTGTCCTCGAATAACCAGATAACTCACAAAGCAAATACAAATGATAAGCAGATATTTGGTCCAACATACTAAATATTTGCTATTAAGACCAAGGGAAAATTAATCTTATTAGCAATCAATAAAGATATCATGAATAACAATTATTATAAAAAAATATTAGATGAGATTAAAGCACAAGACTAACACATTCACATTCTGCGAAAAAAATTCAAAGTAGAATCAGAACAAAAAAATCAGAAGACGAGTTCCTCGGGGTACAAATACATGAAAAAAACCTGACTTTTTACTTGCAATAACATTAAAAAGGAGAAAAAGAAAATATTTACTCTTCGCAGCAGCAAAAATATCCAGAAATTAATTGATCACGCGGCCATGAAGTTCAGTAGTAAGGTATCACAGGCGGTGGCGGCGACGCATAGGATACTCCGACGACAGGCGGCAGAGGAAGATTCCCTCCGCCTCCGCAATTAGCCGGCGGAGGCGGAGATGGAGGCGGTGGCGAAGCTATTAGCGGCGGCGGAGGTGGAGAATGGAGAAGTGGATGTTTTGGTGGTGGTGGCGATTGATACGGCGGTTGTTCCGTTGGAGGTGGTGAGTGATGAACCGGCTGCTCCACTGGGGGTGGAGAATGGTACTGCTCGGCTGGAGGTGGGGAATGGTAGACGGGTTGCTCCGCCGGAGGTGGCGAGCGTTGGACAGGTTGTTCGGATGAAGGTGGTGAGTTTACCGGTTGCTCTGCCGGAGCAGGGGAGTAAATAGGCTGCTTTGCCGGAGGAGGAGAGGAGACGGGGTGCTCTGCCGGAGGTGGCGAGCTGACCGGTTGCTTTGGAGGAGGCGGTGAGTAATACCACGGTTGCTCTGGCGAAAGTGGAGAGTGAGGAACCGGTGGCTTGGCCGGTGGAGGCGAGGTTGCTTGTTCCGCCGGAGGAGGCGGAGGATGGAGAGGATGCTCAGCCGGTGGAGGCAAATGGTACGCTGGCGGACTCGAAGCTTTAGGTGGCGGTGCAGAGTAATGTGGCGGTCGCGCAGGTTCAAAGCCAGAAGTCGGTGGGGGCGGCGGAGGCGGCGGAGGCGGCGGAGCCTTCTCCAATGGGCGGAGGAGGGTGAGATTTCGTAGACGGAGATGATCCCGAAAATGGCGGCGGTGGAGAAGCAGTGAATTGTCCCTTGTGTTGTCCATTAACGGGCGCAGGTGGCGGAGGAGCCCATCTGGAACCAGAGATTACACCTTGCTTCGGCGGAGGCGGTGAGTTCAAACTCGGTCTCCCACCTTGGTGCGCTGGCGCTGGGAGTGGGAACTCTCCGACGCCGGCGCAGTTCGCTTTCTTACAATCAAAAGGCTTCGTAGCAGCAACCGTGCACTGGTTCGGCGGTCGTTGTCCCGGTATTGCAGGGATGCAGTTTACTCTCCCATCAAACACCACCCCTCTCCTCCCAACACATTCCGGCGCCTCGCCAGAGAAGAAATTATAAGAAAAGGTGAAATTTTGCAGCTTCGGCAGCCTACAAACGGCACCAGGAACAAATCCTGTAAGCCTATTTCTCCCAATATCAAGCTGCTCTACATTTCTCAACCCCGCAAAAGTCGCCGGAATCGGACCCTGCAGTCCATTAAAGCTCACATCAAACACAGTAACTTCCCGCAACCTACCGACCTCCGGCGGAATGCACCCAGACAGATTATCGTTAAGAAGAATGATCTCATTAAGACTTCTCTCCATCCTTCCAATACTCGACGGAATGCAGCCGCCAAGATCATTGTTTGCGAGCACAACAACAGAAACAGGGGAGTTTCCTAAGTTCCCCGGTATTCCACCGCGCAGGAGGTTAGAGTTAAGAAAGATGGCATCGAGTGGGCGATCGAAGAGACCTGGCGGAATCATTCCTTCAAACTCGTTGAACCTGAGATCCAGGAACCGAAGCGACGGTAGCTTTAGGACGACGGCAGGAAACTTGCCGGCGAAGCGGTTGTTGCTGAGATCGAGCTCGTGGAGGAGCTTCAAGCGGCTGAATGTGGAAGGGACGACGCCGCAGAAGCGGTTGGAGTTGAGATGGAAGACGGCGAGGTCGGATAGGAGGGCTAGTTCGGGGGGAAGGAATCCGGCGATGTCGGCACCGTTTAGGTCGACGGCGGCGACGACGGTGAGGGAAGGTTGGGAGGGAAGAGGGGCGCAGAATACGCCGGAATACGAGCAGACATTGGGGCCTACCCAGGAGGAGGTGAAGTTTTGGGGGTCGGAGAAGATGGCCGTGGTTTTCCAAGTTTGGAGGGCAATGTAGGCTGCTCTGAGGCGGGGGTTGGGGAAGCGGAATTGGTCGGGGTTGATGGCGTCGCTTTGGTTGAGCGCCGCTCTGGAGATCGCCGGAGAGAATGTGAGGAGGAGGAGGAGGAGGTGGAAGGGGTGAGACATTCTAGTCACATGAGATAGCGCGCTCTGAAGATTAGACTTTGGTTCAGGATGGGTTGGATTTTATACAATTTTGTCTAAAATGAAGATTAGACTTTTGGGTTTATTTGGTTATTTGAATTGAATATTTGTTTAGAGTTTTGACTTAACAGGGTTTTAATTGGGGGCATTTACATAAATAACAGATGATTTTTATGTATTTATATATCTAATATTTAAATTTTATTTTTTTATATTTATAACGCCCAATCTTTTATATCACATGTTAAGTATTAGTATTTTAATTTTAAAATAGGGAAATAATTTTTTTCATTCATAATTAAGATGACATAAATGTTAGATATGTAAATACATAAGAATTGAGAGGTATGTATGTAAATCTTTTACTTTCTTTTTTTTTTGTTTTTATATGTAAACCCCAAAAATGAAGGCAAATTTTACTAGTTGGTTTGGGCTATATTTGGGGTAGTAGTGTGGCGCACTGCACTTTAATGCATTTGGCAAATTTGTTTTAAGCCTGTCTTTTCAAAACGTTATAGAAAGCTGTGCGAAAACAAAACAAAAATGAAGAAATTTCACACAACAACAATGAAACACGAAAGATTTACATGGTTCAGTGTTAAGTTGATCCGCATACGTTCATGATGAGTAAGAAATCACTAGCACCGCATGGTGGGAAAAAAGAGGATAAGGGTTATAATTTCAACACTTCTATTATTACTCTCTCATGAACCTTTAGTCCCTTTTACAGAGGAGGATTAAAGCATACAATTAAATAAAATAAAAAAGAATAAATTGCCCCTAACTACAAAAAAATCTTAAATATAACAATCTTCACATCATCTATTACTTCTATATAAGAGAGAGATGACCAAATAAGCTCCAAACTCCAATTAAGCTGCACCAAGATGGTTGCTTACTCATTCTCTCTCTCAAAGGGATCAACCATTGTGCAGTTCTTCAAAATGCTCGACTGTGTAATCAATTCTGAGCTCAGATGTTCACCAAACTCCTACAACATGTTAACTTCTGGACTAACAGTACCTTCATAAGCATCTATATTGGATTCTCCTTTGTATATATCTTCCTCAGCAGAGCCTTGTCAACATCAATCAAGTTCCGAACAAAGTGATATCTCACATTAATGTGCTTGGCACAAGCATCATGAAGTGCATTTGTGGCAAATAATATTGCACTATAACTGTCATAGAACACTGTCAAAGACTTCTAATCAACTCCTAAGTCATCCAATAGGCTCTGCATCTGTATTGCTTCTTTCATCGCTTCCGTGCAGTTAAGTATTCAACCTCCGTAGTAGACAACACAACAATAGATTGAAGAACAGACCTCTAATTAATTAGATCTCCTGCAAATGTAAATATAAAACCAGTCTTAGATCTCCACAAATCCATATAATCTGCATAGCTTGAGTTAGTTCAGCTTACACACAAATTTACAACAGATGAGTCACCTCTCAAACATTAAGCCAACATCAAATGCACCATTTAGATGCAAATACTCTTCATTGTCTGTCAATGTTTCCTCTCAGATCATGCATGAACCTGCTCACAACACTAACTACTTGTGCAATGTAAGATATTGTATAAATCACGACATATAATAGACTGCCCACTGCAGTAGCATAAGTAGATCACATATCTTTTATTTTCTGGTCATATTTAGGACATTGATTTGATGTAATGGGTAGACTAACCTCCTTGCTTAAGCTATCAACCCCAAATTTCTTCAGCACCATCCGAACAAAATCTGTCTTGTTCCTTAAAATCTTCATGCCAAGAATTCTAAAATCTTCACCCAACCCCTTCATTTCAAAATTTTTAATAGTTGATTCTTTATCTTATAAACCAGATGCAAGTAAAGTAAACAGTAATATCAATTATGGTTCTCTCCATTTGGCCTCCATTTATATTAATAAAAAAATTATAAAAAGATTTTCTTCATTCCACAATTTGTAAATTTTATGTATGAATGAAAAGGTTCATTTAAAAAAAAAAATAATTAAAAATAGTGATTATTTTAATGTGATGTTTTAAGTATTACAAATTAGATACATAAATGAAAGAATTATTTGATATTTATTTAGATGCCCTTTCTAATATGTATAAAAGGTTATTTTAATAATTAAAAAAAAAAAAAAACAAAGATAGTATGGCCCACCTATTTACGTGAACTGCATCAACTTTGCAGTTTGCAGCTATACATTAATTAAGGAAATCTGATGTCCGAATACGTGCTCTGAACTGGAAGAAAGTGGTGTTGGAAAGCAAGCTTTGAGCTGCTGTTGATTTATAAAAATTCAACATATTTTATTATGTATTTATATATTTAATACCTAAATTTGGATATTTAAATTAATACAATTTTACATGAGAAGGTGTATTATATTTCTAAGAAGTTAGTGATAGTGATATTTTTATTTGAAATGAAAATTTTGAATATTTGAAATATCAAAGTTATATTCAAGTGTAAGATATATAAATTCATACAAAATACTTGATATCCATATAATTGTCCCCTTCATATATAAAATGTATGTATGTATGTATTTATGTATCGCGCCGCGTACTCAGATCAGTTGGTCGGACATCTGCTTCTCAGTTGTAAGTCCCCTCTGGTCTGGGATTCGATTTCCCCCAAGTGTAGGGTGTGGTACTTGAATTCTTAGGCGCACGAGGGATGACCGAGACTCTTATAATAGCCTCTGGTCATTCCTTATATATATATAACCTCTTTTATTTTTTTATTTTTGTTTTTTTCCTCAATAAAGTTTTTAGTTTTTCAAAACCAATAATAACAGTTTTTCAAATTTCAACAGGAATGCACGTACGTATGTGCAACCTCTAATTATGAATTGATAGGTAATCAATAAAACTTATCGTTTGACATACATCTTAAGGCGAGCAGGATCTCAAAGCATTTTGTTAGACATATCTAGACGTCCACTAAAAATCTTCAAGAACACCGATTTCGAAAAACTTGCAATCAAATTGAACGGTGTGACAAGACTAACACAATGACATAGAAGTTAGTCCAACCCAAGTCAAATGAAGCCCAGATCGAGTTATTAAGTAATTTTTGGAAGTTTCCAATGCTCAATTGAAAGGTCAAGTGGATTCCAAATCTAATAAGATTATGATCAAATCAAGCATCTCGATAAAATGAATCTAACGAGCCCAAGATCAGTCAATTTTGACATAGTTAAGGCACTTAAATGTTTGCAAAATATTGTCTGATCGAGAGAATCTCTCCTGGTTGTCTGATGGAGTGATCCACATTCATTTCTTATTTGCATGGTGGTCTCTCCTATTCTATATTAATAAAGTCTTATCCTCTTCATGAAAAGGGGACATGGACCATGAACTGTAGGAAGCCAGCTTGGAGGAGAAGGAACAGAGGTCCAGTGTTTTATACAAAAGCTCTAGTAAATGCAACCTACTCGTACAACTGTCGACCACTGTCAACCACCGCTCGTCAACTGTCGTTGACCACCTTCAACTACTCTCTAATCTTTCTAATGAAACCCTTTATAGAATCATGACGTGCGTTACAGAATCTCGGTGTACGTTGAAGAGTAACTAAGCACTCCATAAAGCAGCACATAGTCCTAAATGTTGTGCAGCAACATCTTAAAGACAATGTAACAACACACCCAGAAGACAGTGTAACACACTCCGAAGAAGCTGTAACGACACAGCTCAAAAACGGTGTAATAACACATAATGCATATGGTGTAACAACATACTTCCAATGCATGATCATGAAATATCAAAGATCCCATAACAACCCCAAACAATAATTGTTTATAATTGTCATACTAATAACATGACAATTTTCTCCAGACTTATGAAGTTCTCTCCTCACAACTCTCCAATATGGCCTCTACGACCTACAAACGTTATTACAACTCAACACTATAACCTATGTGATCAACTACGACCTATGTTGCTTAAAGCTCATGCAGTCCTCAACTCTGACATCTATGGTCTATGAACGTTACTGAACTCACCACCACGATCTAAGACCCATGTGTATCATAGCTTTTGCATTTCCTAACTCTGTCCTCTGTGACCTATAGAAGTTATCATAATTAATACAACTCCCAACTCTGCTCTCTGCGACATACAAACATTATCACAAGTCATGTGACTCCCTCGTTTTTTATTTACGGATGATGAATATTATTACAACTCCTTACTACAACATATGTGACAAACTACAACCGACATATCTCATAGCTTATGCAACTCTCAACTCTGGCCTCTACAACGTATAAATGTTATTATAGTTTCCCTTTATGGTCTATATGATTAATTACGACTTAAGTGACTCACAGCTCATGCAGCTTTCAACTCCAACTTCTACAATCTATGAACATTATTAAAGCTCTTTGCTACAGCCTATGTGACCAACTGTAACATACATGACTCATAACTTATGCAACTCCTAACTTAAGTCTTTGCAGTCTATGAACGCTATCACAAATTCCTACTGATGCTATTGTGGCGAACCGATGTTTCTGAAGCCGCTATATATGACCTAGCTTTTTTTTTCATTTCTCTTTTTATTTTTGAAGGAGTCGACAGTTTGCCCATCATCATATACTTCTTTTTCCGGAATAAGTCTCATTTCTGGATCATGTGAATGATCAGGAAAAGAGAGAAACCAAAAAAGCATGACATACGACAAAGACGGACAAACAAGAGAAAGAATGCGGAGAACTTCCGTGTGGTAAACCTCGCTAGGATAGGTCAAGCACATATGTCTGAACAAAATCAGATTCGGACCGAAATTACTTGTGTCAAATATCTGCGAAAGAATGCCTATAAAAGCTATTCACAACCAGAGATTCAGGTGTGTTTACTTGTTATAGGTCCAGAATACTCCTAAGGGGACATATCTCACTTGATTAATTACATCTTGGGAGTTGTCCATGAATACTCTTGATCTAAAAGAGTTTTGCTTACATTTGTAGTGATGACTAGCACAAGACTATCAAAGATGGGTTATTTTGCATGGGAATGCTTTGATGCTTTCAAAGCTTCCGCTAAGCCACGGAGCAGGGAATGAGTTGGTCCCGCATGGGTAATGGACTCATCAACAAACAAAGCCTGCGAAACAACCAAATCAACCTGACGATAA